TTCAGATGGGATTGGCAATGCATGATAATTCGTATGTGTTTGCTATTTGCGATTGCGAATTACCTCAAGATCACAATTTCCAGAATCAATAAAATAGTAAAATTGAAGGAATAGGTACCTGTTTATATAAATTTAATTATTTCTAAACAGATCGAGAAACTTAAAGAAATTTCAATGAACATGATTGAATTCATTGCGCACGCCCATGGCATCGGTATCTGTCTGTGACTAGCAGCTGATATTGGTATCCCAGATGACGTCACATAATATGCGCGTAGGCACACCATCTTCTCCTTCCACTGTGATCCAAACTATATCTACCAAGATTTTCATAGCTACAGTGACAACAACGATGCCTGCCTAGTTCGGGAAGTACGTACTTTCCGGACTATGCCGAAAAATGCTACTTTCTCAAAGAAAAAGCGTCCGGGAAGTTAGACTTCCCAGACGGTTGCCAAAGAAGGATATTTTTCAAGATTCTTGGGCTTATCTGTCCTCGTACATTTTCTGAAAATAAAAAAGTTATTTCAATATACTTGAATTGAAAAGGAATCAGATGATCCATCCCACAATATCACTGCGCTTAAAATTTCACTTGAAGAATCTTAAAGGAGGAATTCTGATGTGGATAGTCCGTGACACCTTGTTGGTGATAATATTCAAGTGAGTGGTGTGTTCAAGCATGAGAATATACACTCAGTTCCAAAAAAAGTGACGCACTTGATATTTGACCTATTTTCTTAAAAAAAAAAACAAAAAAAAAATAGGCTGATTTTTATTTTTTTTTTCATTTGTTTTCGAACCCTCCTTGATGGTGGTGGAATAACTCGAACCATGATTTATTCTCAATTTTTGACTCACCCTGTGTGTTAATTGAGTAATGGTATACAAAGTGCTTCCACCCTATACGAAAGAGGCTTCTTTTGCGAGCATTCTGTTTTTTCATTCATTGATTCATCTCTAAAATTTTCCGAATTAAAGCTTTTTTTGCTGATACCTTACGCTTATCCCACGAATTAAATTTATTGAAGGATCAGAGTACTCAAATTTGATTGGGTACTCTGGTAGGATCACATTGTCTTTGAAAAAACAAATGCCGTTGCCATAGCAACTAATTTGTTGTATGCCTCCATATTTGGCCATTTGTCGTTGTGTCATTAATCAAGTGTCTTGTTTTATTGACTAAAATTACATAAAATACCTCAAATAAATCCTGAACAAGTAGCAAGATTAGTTGCATTAGTAAGCGATGGGCGTAGTAAACGTTACGCCGCTCGTGCAGTGGGAGTTCATGAAGCAACTGCTCGCAGAGCAATCCGCAAGTACGAACAAACAGAAAGCACCGCTCGGAGGATCGGTTCTGGTCGCCCCCGAAAAAATTCTCCAAGAAATGATCGCTTCTTGAAATTGCGGATTTTACGGAATCGATCAAATACTGCGGTAAATGTTCAGCAAGATCTTCGCCAAATTCGTGATGTTGCAGTTAGTAAGCAGACGGTATGTAGACGTCTAAAAGAAGTTAATTCAAAAGCTAGGAGACCTGCAAAAGGTCCCAAATTATTGCCCGAACATCGTGCTGCTAGAAGAAATTTTGTTGAGAATTATGGACAGTGGAATATTCCTGAATGGTCGAATGTCTCGTATACGGATGAGTCAAGGTGTTGCCCTCGGTTTCGCCTCAACATGGTGAATGGAAGAAAAGAGTGTGGAGAAGAACTGGTGAACGATTTAATCAAAATTTGATAACAGAATGCGAAAGTTTTAATGGTGGGTCCGTTATGGTGTGGGGATGGATTTCAATGAATGGAATTACACCCCTCCATGTTTTTCCGGTGAGGCAGTCGATGAATGGCCAAATTTACATTGACATTTCAGAGCAGTATGTCTTACCTTATGCAGAGTTAGAGGGCAATAATTTCATATTGATGCAGGAAAATGCCCGACCACACACCGCAGCAATAGTGCGAAACTTCTTAGAAGCTACTGGTATTACCACATTACAATGGCCTGCGAGAAGCCCCGATATGATTCCTATAGAACATTTGTGGGATGAATTAAGGTGAAGGGTACGTTCTCGCGAGAGGTCTCCGGAAAGTCTCGCAGAAATGGCAGATGCATTAGTGGAAGAATGGGATCGTATACCAATGGAAACGATAAGCAACTTAATTTCCAGTATGCCTCGTAGATTAGTAGTTCTTAGAGCTGCTAGAGGAGGCAATACACGGTAGTGAGCAGTCATCCCAATTTATAATTTTGAGTTTAATGAAAATTTTTTTTTTAAATTATTGGTATCAGTTTATTTCATTAGAAAATTGTTTCTCGATAAATTCAGAAAGTTGGTATTCCGCAAGGATGCAGCAAGAAAAGGTGTAATTCGGAAAATTTTAGAGATAAATCAATGAATAAAAAAACAAAATGCTTGCAAAATAAGCCTCTTTTATATAGGGTGCAAGCACTTTCTATGCCATTACTCAATTAACACACAGGGTGAGTCAAAAATTAAGAATAAATCATGGTTCGAGTTATTCCACCACCATCAAGGAGGCTTTGAAAAAATGTTAACCACTATATTTTTTTTTTCAAAGACAAATGCATTACCTACCAACAATTAAAAAAAAATAAAAATCGGCCTACTATTTTTTGTTTGTTTTTTTTTTTTGAGAAGAAGAAGAAATATCAAGTGCGTCACTTTCTTTGGAACTGAGTGTAGTTACAATGAGATCAATACTTACTCAAACAAAGCCAGGAAATGAAGAAATAACAATTGTATGTACAGTATACTTTGTGTTTGTGGAGAGTATTATGCAAAGATATCTATCTCTACTAGCTGTCAGTTGAATTGAAAACAAACAGAATACACCATAATACAGTCTGTCCAAGATAAGGTTGCACAGCATGGGGATCTCGGAAACGGTAGGAGATACGAAGTCGGTTAAATGGAGAAAAAGTTGCGCATTCGGAGGCTCATACCAACAGCCTTCGAAAATGTTCAAATTTTTTTTTAGTTTTTCAGTTATATCGAAAAAAGTGAATTTTTGGAATCCCTATTTTATTTTTTTCTCCGTTATTATTAGAGATACAGAAAAACTAAGAATACTTTTTCAAAGCAACTTTTGATGACGTTTAACGTGGTGATACCGATTTTTCTATGCAACGTTTCGTATTCGTAGAACCATCATCAACTTTTGTTTTTTAAATACGGCCCTGATAATTCTTTCACAGATTCTGAAAGCTTTTTTTATTCTGAATTCAACCATGTATTATACAAGGTGGTTTGAATGTGTTTCGAACTATTTTTAGCCAGCATCAATGTTTTTTTTCAAAATTCCAAAGGAAAAATGCCATCAGTTCCACTTATTTTGAAGGAAAATTAGCCAACAAACTAATACCTCATCAACTACCGATTGATAGACTTATAGGAATAATTAGTTCGAAAAATTTAATTATGACAAGCTCCTTCGGATTAAAATATGAATACAATTCCACTTTTCAGTATTGAATAACTAGTCCATCAATGTTTGGCACTGAATAATCAGAAATAAGTGAAACTGATGGCATTTTTCCTTTGGAATTTCGCAAAAAACATTGATGATGGCTAAAAATAGTTTGAAACACATTCAAACCACTTTGTATGATACATGGTTGTATTCAGAATAAAAAAAGCTTTCAGAATCTGTGAAAGAACTATCAGGGCCGTATTTAAAAAACAAAAGTTGATGATGGTTCTACGAAAACGAAACGTCGCATAGAAAAATTGGTATCACCACGTTAAACGTCATCAAAAGTTGCTATAAAAAAGTATCTTCAGTTTTCCTGTATCTCTAATACTGGGCTGGTGGCCGTGAGCGTAGAGTCGCTGGCTGTTGCCCAGGCGGTCCGGGTTCGATCCCCGGCGCGAGCACTGAATTAATTTTCGGTAGTTTCGTTGGGCGGGAGGAGATAGGTGGCCAACCCAACATTCTTGGTACCTAGATATCAATCCTTTGGACTGTCCACGGTTACCAGCCGAGTAGTGCTTCGGATGACACTTAAAAAGCTAAGGTCCCCGTCTTCTTAACTCACACAAGTCTCTGACTTTCGAGGGTTGCTTTGCAACTAAGCTGGCGGTTAAAAACACTTTTAAACACTTTTAAACACTTTTTTTTTTTAATGATAACGGAGAAAAATAATAAAATAGAGATTCCAAAAATTCACTTTTTTCGATATATCTGAAAAACTATAAAAAAATTGAAAATTTTCGAAGGCTGTTGGTATGAGCCTCCGAATGCGCAACTTTTTCCCCATTTAACCGACTTCGTATCTCCTACCCTTTCCGAGATCCCCATGCTGTGCAACCTCATCTTGGACAGACTGTATAAACAATTTACTAAGAAAACATTTTGTTCTTCCGGAACTATGCGGAATACGAAATTTTCACAAGATTGACAAAATGACGATAATTAATCGATCATCTCGCTCTGAACATTTGGGAACCACATTACCACTCCTAAGAATGTTCTCAAAAAAATGTCAGGGGGTGAGGGTGGTTCCAACCCTTCTACCATTCCTCTTGGGTTTGTTTGATTACCGGTAAAAAAATGTATTGAGTGGAGCTTCTCGTCAAAATAGGAATGTACAATTTGTTCCATCGAGAACTAAAATTTTTGTTGAATTTCTGTCAAAATTGTGTACACATTTTGTGTCAGTATAATTCAAAGGGTAGCTATCAAATGGTTACACAATATGTGAATCTTGATTGACACAAAGTTGTGTGAACGTGGAGTTGAAATCACTCAAAAATGTTCACCGTGATAATCCTCTGAAATGCACTCGAGTCAAATTCCATCCAATTCACTCATTTTTGAAAAGGGTACAAAAATGTTTTATATGTAAACTTTGAACTCGTCTCACGGACAAACGGTTCATTTTGTTATATAAATAAATTGAGTCCATTTTACACTTGGTAGCTCTGTGTCCCAACAATTTTGGAACACCCTCTATAACAGTTGTTTTATATGCAGGTTGATCAAAATCAAGGAATGGGTCGACAAAAATGACGCTGGAGCCATGATCATTCCATTTTCAGGAGTTTTCGAACACAAACTTGTGGAAGAATATGAAGATCCAGTGCTGAGGAAGAAGTTTCTAGAAGATAATGGTACGACCAGGTAAGAATTGCCAATTCCACACTTATTTAGGCAATATTCGTCGTAGGCAGTACCATCGGATATTTCTATGGCTGTTCCCGAATACTTAGTGTCATTAACAATCCAGCCAGTCGTCTATAAATGACGATAACGTTTAATTCATCAATAATTCGTGGGTCTTCTCACGTAATGACGTATCTCATATAAATCGGAATTTGAGATACTTGTCAAATGACTTATATTCTTACTCTATAATCTCACAAAGTGGCGTAGCTCAATATTCATTGGTATTCGTATAATTAAATATCGAATACTCTAGCCTATCTCAAACACAAAGTGACCTTACTATACAGGGTGTCCCATAAACATACCGACAAACTTTATGGGATGGTAGAGGACATCGGAATAAACATTTTTGCTTGATAAACATAAGTCCGGAAACTCTTCGTTTTCGAGATACAGGGTGTTAAATTAAAAAAAAATCGATTTTTTATCAATATTTGAGTTAATATCGTAGAAACGATTTAGTCGAATTCAATGAAATTTTTACAGATTATTGATACACTTTAAAGGTATCTTTTGGAGCTATTAGAATTTGCCCAATAATTTCAGGGGCGTGCCCACGGGCTATGCCGGATAGTTTTTGCACAAAAAAAAAATCGCCCAGTAAATTTTTTGTAATTATTATTATTTTTTTCAAATAAACAACTAAAAATGCAACTTTTTTGTCGATTGAAATTTTTCCGTATCTACCTTCGTTTTGAAGGAAAAAAATATAAACCATTTCTCTTACATCTACATATGAATTTTTTTTTTTGTAAACTTAATAATCATAATGTCCTTTTTGGCAGAAAAAAATTTAAAAATTGTGAGTGAGTTTTGTTCATTCAGTGTTGAATAATTAATATTAATTTACAAAAAATATTCAGAAAGACATTAATAACTCTGTGTTAACGATAAATAATAATGGTTTATAATAATTGTTCAAAATGTTGAGCATTTGCTTCAATGCAAAGATTGCCTCGTCGGTTCGTTTTCACGATATTAATAAAAACTCGATTTTTTTGAAAAATTTCAACACCCTTTATCTCGAAAACGAAGAGTTTCCGGACTTATGTTTATCGAGCAAAAATGTTTATTTTGATGTCCTCTACCATCCCTTAAAGTTTGTCGGTATGTTTATGGGACACCCTGTATAAATACGTAAATATGTGAGATCTGTTTTCATTATTACTTCAAAATTTCAACAGTGACGTATCTCATAATCCGGTTTGCTAGGGAAATTAAAATATCTCGGGTGACGTCTCGAGGTACTGATGAGAGGGTTATTGTAAGGTACTGTACAGGGTGATTGACTATGGATTTCTCGACTTCAACAGCTGATATCTCGAAATCGACAAAAGATATTTGAAATTTAGAAAGAGGTACTTGAATGAGATGTCATTTCCTTCTAGAAAATGTGTTATCTGCTTGATTTTATTATTTCATATACAGGGTTCGTGAAAAAACATTTTTTTTTCAAATGGAACCCCCTGTATATTATCGCATATTTCGAAAGAGCTATCTTTCCTGATTTCGAAGATATATACTTTTCATATATTCTATCGAGGACTTGACGAAATATCAGCAAAATTAAATATTAATATTTGGTCCAAGTTAGTTATGGTTGAAATAGAATGAGATGATGAATAAGTGAATTGACATTTGGCCAACATTCCAGTGAAATAAGTGCGCAAAATTTCGACAATTTTCTCACGATGCCATATCCACTGGAACAAAGAAGAGATATTTTGGAGTGCTATTTTTCAGTAAATAAAATTCTTGCTGAAACACTTACACTTATACTTACTTAGATTTAATCTTTCAGATATGACAAGACAAAATTCAATCCGCTTCTCATTATCATCATAATTGAGTTTGTGGCATGGTCTGATTCTGAAATCCCTATATTTATATTTCCTTAAGGTATGTTGAACAAAATAATAGCTGAAATCAAACTCTCTCACTGCATTTCTTATTGACCGTGAAGGATCCTCAACAAAATACTGGATTACAAGAAGTTCCTCGTCTTCGTTGTCTTGCCTTCTCACTTTTCTCTTGATATTCGACAAACTGAAAGTTCTGTCAAATTTAGCAGCCGAATACTTTACATAATTCTCACTTGGTAATCTCCTGCCTGGATAACTCCTCATATACTTATGAAGTGTTTCAGCAAGATTTTTATTAACTGAAAAATAGCACTCCAAAATAACTCTTCTTTGTTCCAGTGGATATGGCATCGTGAAAAAATTGTCGAAATTTTGCGCACTTATGTCACTGAAATGTTGACCAAATGTCAATTCACTTATTCATCATCTCATTCTATTTCAACCATAGCTAACTTGGACCAAATATTAATATTTAATTTTGCTGATATTTCGTCAAGCACTCGATAGAATATATGGGAAGTATATATTTTCGAAATCAGGAAAGATAGCTCTTTCGAAATATGCGATAATATAAGTACAGGGGGTTCCATTTGAAAAAAAAATTTTTTTTCGCATACCCTGTATATGAAATGATAAAATCAAGCAGAGAACACATTTTCCAGAAGGAAATGACATCTCATTCAAGTAACTTTTTCCAAATTTCAAATATCTTCTTTCGTTTTTGAGATATCAGCTGTTGAAGTCGAGAAATCCATAGTCAATCACCCTGTACAGTGTACAGTGTGTCCAGTTTTCGATGCTTTTGTGTGATATCTCAGTTATCTTTCGAGATAGAACCTTGCGGGTTTCGCGGTCGTGTGACACTTTTTTGTGAAACTCAAGATGGCTTAATCAGATTTTGCATAAAACTGTTCCCGTTTATGACATACAGGGCGATTTTGAAAATTTATACTTTTTCGACCCCCTCTATATCTACGAAGTTTCTCAACAAAAATGTCAAATTCAAATCTCATCCCATATGAAAGTTTACGCAGAATCCAGTGGCGCACTCAAACTTATGATATTTTAAATGGAACACCCTGTATTTGATGAGCTCATAAAATTCCTAATTTTTGTCTTTTCAAAATGATTTATAATGTCGTATGTATATGAAATTTTCAAAAATGCTCTGAAATCACTGAAACATCGAATTTTAATAGTGGGCTATGGATTTTTCTTATAAAAAAGTTCCATTTGAAGGAATATTCATTTTGATTTTCCATAAAGAGGACAAAAACAATACCAACACTAATTAACTAAGAAAACACAAAAATTATGTACCTGAAAGCAACAAATATAAAGTTCATAATGTAGAATAAGCACCAGATTAAATATTTTCGAATAGAATTGAATTTCGGAATTATTTAATAACTTATTCACTGAATTGTTCAAATTGATGTCCATTTCCCATAACACACAATTGACACATTTTCTCAATACGTCTTGATACAGTAAGAGTCACAAATATCTTGAAGAACATCGTGCAACAACAGAGGCAGTTTTCCAGGAATTACAAAGACATCCTTTAATGATTTTGAATGCATTAAGACGTATTGACAAAGCGTGTGAGGGAAAGTGGACATCAATTTGAACAATTCAATGAATAAGTTACTGATTAATTTCGAAATTCAATTGTCTTAGTGAATATTAAATCAGGTGCTTATTCTAGAATATAAACTTTTTATTACCATTCATTTGTTGCCATCAGGTACCTAATTTTTGTGTTATCTTAATTAACTAGTGTTGGGATTGTTTTTGTCCTGTTCATGGAAGAATCAAATGAAATATTCCTTCAATTGGAACTTTTTTTAAATGAAAAATCCATAGCCCACTATTGAAATTCAATGTTTTAGTGATTTTGGAGCATTTTTGAAAATTTTATACCTATTCATCATATTTCATTTTGATAGGGAAAAAATGAGGAATTTGATGAGCTCATAAAATACAGGGTGTTCCATTTGAAAAATCATAAGTTTGAGACGTATCTCCGAAAACATACCCAGAAAAAAAAATTTAGTGTGCCACTGAATTCTGCGCAAAATTTTGTATGGGATAATATTCCAATTTGACATTTTCGCTGAGAAACTTCGTAGATATAGAGGGGGTCCAAAAAGTATAAATTTTCAAAATCGCCCTGTATCTCATAAACGCAAACAGTTATGCAAAATATGATTAGGTCATCTTGAGTTTCACAAAAAAGTGGTACGGGACCGCGAAAACCGCAAGGTTCTATCTCGAAAGATATCACGCAAAAGCATCGAAAACTGGACACTCTGTACTGGGAGATTCAATAAGGGTGACGAGATATTGTACCTATTCCAGGAACTAATAATATAGCTAACAAGGTCTGGTTCAAGAAATAAAGGTTTTATGAATAACATAAGAAACCATCCAGCTATTTTGGTTTTTACCGCTCTCGCGGGTGGCGTATTTTTTAAACTATTCAGTTCTTGAAATACAGTACCTCGCCATCCTTATTGAATCACCTTGTACAAGTCGAAATAATTTCTGTGTTTTTCATTAATAAAAATGAATATTTGGATCTAATATTTATTTGAATTCACTTTATATTCATGTCGTATCTAGGGCCACATTGACCAACTTGATCTCACGTATAGTTGATGTATCTTAGAAACATACCCTGAAACTGTTGGATTCTGTCCAAAAAAGGGCAATTCGTCTCGTGGGTGATGCCTCGCTCACAAACTCACTCACTTCTCTGGAACACCGTAGAAAAGTTGGCGACCTGGCTCTATTTCATAGATATTTTCATGGACGATGCTCTTCTGAAATATCAACAATTGTACCTCCCTTGGCAGTCCTCGCGAGATTAACCCGTCGAGTTGAGGCTTCGCACCCCTTCGTGGTCACTTGGAAACCTGCAGAACATCTCTGTCCAAAGACTCGTTCATTCAACAGACAGCGAGGCTGTGGAACACATTGCCAAAGGCGGTGTCCTCGAGGCATATAACCTCCAGAAATTCAAGAAGAACACCGATTCCTACCTTATTTTCCTTGGTTCTCACGATGTTCTCTGAACATTACAGGATATCC